TATAAATTTTGTGGTGACAACATTATCATTCACAAAAGATTCAAGTTCCCAAGTTGGCAAAATCAGACAATACCTTTTTTCTGGTCATGTGTGTGTGTGCATGTGTGTGTTTGTGTGTGTGTGTATATACACATTGTTTTGAGCAGAAATGTAAAAAGTTAGAGAACGTATTGGAGTGAAATTCGTTTTTGTTTTCTGCACACATACACACATGTCTAGGTATACATGAAACTGCACCCTATAGTCTAGCCCCTGGGACTCCAGGCTTCAACTTGATTCAGGGCCCTGCCCAGAGACCCCAGTGCTGGGCTAACTCCCACACATATAAGTCCCAGGATCACCTTTAAGACTTGGATGCTAGGACAGAGGATTAAACCTCTGAATTTTTTTGTCACTGAAGGAACAAAGCAAGAGGTGGGTTCATTCAGATTTGAGGTAACAATTTAGAAATAATCAACACACTAATTTTAAACAACTTTTTCTTTTCTGGGATAAAGAGTGCTGCAAAACTTGGTTCTCATTCCCTTGGCGGTGGGTTTATTTGGTACTTTTTTATTTGCCTCTGCTCAGATCTTTATTTCCTACTGTTTACTCAGAATTGGTTTCCACAGAGAAGTCAGGCTTTAGGGCTTAATATTGAATGAAAGTGGACCCTTGGGTTGTCAGACTTCTCCTAGCATAAAGGATTGCTAACCGTGGAGTAACTATTTTTAAGGAACTGAGAGAAATTAAATTATTTTTAGCTTCACATTGCCCAGCTTTTCTTCTGGGAGATGTCTCATGACACAGAAAAATAAGAAAAGTTTTTGGTTATTCTTGCCCTGGAAATCCACTTTAAATGATACTTGGAAATTAAACAGAAAAATTACATGTGCATTTCTACTTGTGAAATCCCAATGGATTTGCAAATTAAGAATAGAAACAGTATTTTTTTAAGTATAAATGCTAAGGATGATTTTGTTTCCTTTTGTTTAAAAAGTCAGAGAATATTTTCTTTTGAAGGAAAACCTGAAAGTCCTATAACCAGGACTCCTCATGTGGGCTGATTAATCACCTGGTAAGTAAAATCAAAATCATATGATAGGAGATAAATGCTACTATGGAGAGAGAAAATTAAAAGTCCATACACATATGATGTATAATTGCATTTTTATTTATAAGAATTCTATATGTACATTTTCTCTTTTATACACCATCCAATATTTAAGTCAAATGTATTAAATAAAAGTTGTCATATTTCCTCAGCACATGTACAAATATGTGGACCTTATTTCTTGTGGTTTTGGAACATGAAGGAAAAACATAATAGTATCCAGTGTCCCATATAGGGTTTCTTAAAGAGAAGAAAAAGGCATTGACAGATAAGTAAGTAACTTCAACTTTATGCAGAAAACACATAAAGAAAAAGCAATTCAGTTGAAAAACAAGAGAATGTATTGAAGTGAAAATTCGTTTTTGTTTTCCTGCTGGCTTTATTACTTGGGATGAATATACTGTAAGTATATTGTGTAAAATATTATATTTTATAACACCAAAATATCAGGGAATCCTAGACATCAATGTGAAGCAAATTAGAGGTGTACAGATGATGATAAGATAAATAATAAGAGAGAAAAGAAAATAAACATAAAAAGAAAAGAAATATAATTAATTCAGCTGATTTTTTTACTTTCCTTAAAACCCCTGTGCTTTGGGGAAAATGTCAGTTTGACCTTGACTTTTTGAATAAGAAAACTTGGTTGAAAGAAAGAAGTAATAGAACAGTTTGCACCTGATATCCAGACAGCAAGAAAAATTAAAATATGTTAAAAAATAACCCTCCGTAGCAGTTAGTATTTCCCCAAGGTGTACCTAATACTTGCTTTCTTTCTTGTAAAATAGAGATAGTAAAAACATCACTGGGTATTTGTTGAGATCATTGACCCAATACATATGAAATGGTTAAAGCTCTATGTTGAACATAGTCAACACCAACTAAACTATTAATTATTATCATTTTTCGTTTCTAGATACGTGCAAGATCTAAATAATAATCCCTTTGATATGAATGGTAATTGCCTTCATTTTTTTCTTTTAAATTTGAGTGTATTTTTGTTGATTTCCTGTCTCCATTGTATTCTGGTTGTCTAATCATTGCATAATAATATAAGGAAAAGTAAATTAAAATAAAAAAGAATTAGTGTTTATAACCTAGTAAGCACTAGGTAATTTAGCCTGTGAAATCATGGGAGATTCATAATAGAAATGTTCATGTCAAAAAGGAGGAGATGAGTGCCAGGAAATTTCATGCTATAGATCAAATGGCAAAATCTCTTACCTGATCTCTCCTCTGAGTACAAAATTAAAAATACACTGACTAGGATTCCAAATCATCAAGGACTAAATACCAAAAGGCACTCTGGTCACCTGTCTGAAGAACATCTTTGAAAGAGTTGAACAAGGACTAGCAACCTGCTACTTAAAATTAAATGTCAATAATGATATTACTGAAGAATTTTAAGCAGGATTAAGGAGATATAGATCTGCATAGTTTGAAGAGCCCAGAAAAACTTCCTGGAGGTGGAGGAGAAAGTGATGTCTTTTGATTATGAATGTAAAGAATGGAACCCAATTTTTATAGTTTCAAAAGCATGGAATGATGAATGAATTATAAGTGGGCAGAGGGCTATTTTAATAGATTTGGAATGTCTCTGTGAACTTGAGGAGGCATGTCCCAGGAGCTGTTCTATAATGCCTTATTAATAGGAAGAGAAAGAACTGAGAGCAGGAGGATTCTGATGCACAACCCCTAACAGTTCACTTAAATTACCTGTTTGTGCAAAAAAGGCATGGGAAAAGCAGTCTGTTATCTGATGCTTCCTTCAATCATATTCTGGACATATAGTTATCAACCATTATTGGAACTTATAGAGTTCTGGAAAAATTCTGCAATTCTTATCTTTTAAGAAATAGGACTGTCTAGAGTCTAGAAAAGAAATGAATTCCAAAGCATATGAATTAATATAGCACAGTTTGTTTTCAACACTAACGTAGAAGAAACAGGGAAAACAGTGAGTCATTTTATTATTTTCCTATTGTGTGGGTACAGAATCCAGTTAAGATGAGAGAAAGAGAGAGAGAGAGAGAGAGAGAGAGAGAGAGAGAGAGAGAGAGGGAGAGAGAGAGAGAGATTTTCAAATCATCCTGCTTATTAAGTATTGAAATTTTTCTTAGTATATATTTTGTCATTCCCATCCATACATGAATGATGTTATGCTTCAAAGTTATATGAACAAAATATTAAAGCTGTCATAAACTCATGGAAAGAAAGGACCCAAGTTATACTTAGAACTATAAAAGCAATGGGAAATGAATGTCTCAATAATCTGAACTGTGGTTATTTTTTAAAAGATTTCTTTCTGATTTTAGAATTCTAAAATAAATGTGATATTTTAAAAAATGTTCCATGGTATGCAGTATTTACAAAATCATTTCTAAAATCAATAATCTATTCATATTTATAAAATAAAACTAAAATAATTTAATCAATTCAGATGATCACTTATGTACCTTAAATAATTATTGAAGTCCTGTGTATGCTAAGACTTTATATTATTATTTTTCCGGCTTGTAGAAGGCAGCACATATTTCTAAGTATTTAATGAGTACTATGAGTACTACTTTTTAAATCAATCTGTGTAAGTCAAAAGAAGTGTCATAGCTACTTGGACCTCAAATTGTATCATACTTTCAGTCCTTATCATACTGTTGATAATGTAAATATTTTCTAGCCTAAGATCAGGGCTCAGAGGAGACAAATTCAATGTTCACCTTGGGTGCAATTTAATAAGCAAGAAACAATATTTTAATATGATATTTAAAGAATAAAAATTTTCAGTAAAAATATTAAAATCTTAAATAAAGTTGGGATTCTACCTTGGGGTGCATGATGCCCCTCACTGACTGTACTGTTCTGAAATAGTGAGTAAGCAAGCTTTAGGACAGGACATGTGTCCTCATGAAGCTGACCTTTGCATCTCATGTGGAAAGAGACTGCACATCGTTGTTTATACCTTGAGCAAATATAAACATTAAAATCATTTTCTTTCAGTACAAAATACAACCTGAATGGGATGATAAATTATATAGCTTGTCTAGCCAGATGAATTAATTACTTTATAATAAGGAATAGGGTTAAATAAATGAGTACTAAAATTCATATTGTACTAAGTCAATATTTCCCATTTTGACTTATCTTTTTTTTTCAGCTAAAACTATTGAACCTGAACTGCATTGGACCATGGAAAATATCAATAATGTCACAGAATTTATATTGTTGGGACTTTCCCAGAACAAGAAAATTAAAAACTTGTGCTTTCTATTATTCTTATTTTGTTACATGGCTATTTGGATGGGAAATACACTAATAATGATTTCAATCACATGCAGTCAGCTGAGGGACCAACCCATGTATTTCTTCCTTAATTATCTTGCTCTCTCAGACCTTTGCTATACCTCCACAGTGACACCCAAGCTAATCACCGACTTGCTGGCAGAAAGGAACGTGATTTCATATAACAACTGCATGGCCCAGCTCTTTACCATGCACTTCTTTGGGGGCATTGAGGTCTTCATCCTCACGGTGATGGCCTATGACCGCTATGTGGCCATCTGCAAACCCTTGCACTACACCAGCATCATGAGCAGGCAGAGGTGCAATGCTCTGGTCACTGCTTGCTGTGCTGGGGCATTTCTACATTCCTTTGTTCAGTGCCTCCTCACTGTCAATCTACCTTTCTGTGGCCCCAATGAAATTGACCATTATTTCTGTGATGTGTACCCTTTGCTGAAACTGGCCTGCACTGACACACACACAGTTGGAATCCTGGTGGTGGCCAACTCAGGTATGATGGGTTTGGTGACCTTTGTGGTTTTGATGCTGTCTTACTTTTTGATATTATGGACCATCAGGGCTTACCCCGCAGAGAGCCGCAGCAAGGCTCTTTCCACTTGCAGTTCCCACTTGATGGTTGTGGTTTTGTTCTTTGTGCCTGTCCTCTTCATCTACATTAGACCAGCCACCACTTCTCCAGTAGACAAAGTGTTTGCTCTTTTCTACACCATCATCGCTCCCATGTTTAACCCTCTGATCTACACGCTGAGAAACGTGGAGATGAAGAATGCCCTGAGGAAAGTTTGGTGCCAGAAACCACTTTGGATTGGGAAGCATTTCATCTGAAACACACATTCACCCCTCATTATGCAGACTGCTCTGGTGGCACTGGCTCTATTTTGAGATTATTCAAGCCTGGGCTTTCCTACAAAACTAAACTTAGCTTCTCGTCTCACTCAGTGCATGATATTTGCAATTTACTTTAACTAGTTTATTTTTTGTTTAACATCTGCCTCCAATACTCGAGTTCTCATTTCCTTCACCAGTCCTGGTAATATGTGTTATGTATTTCTTTCCTTTGGGTTTTTCCACAGGTTAGTACCTGGAGCTCAGCTTTCTTATCTCTCTTATGTTTGGTTCAGGAGTGAATCTCCAACTATACATAACTGCACTCAACTCAATTACATCTGTCCTAATGGCCTATTTACCTTGCCTCTGTGTTTCACATCAAAAGGATTTACAAAGCATGTTTTTTTTTTCCTTAGAGATATTTAATATCCATTTCAGAAATTTTAAAAGCAAAAATTATTTAAGTAAGTTCTTAATGATACATTATTTGTATCTGTAGCAATACTTATATAAAAATGGGATGAGTTTTTTTTTAAAAATCATTTTAATGAGATTATTTTAAAATTCACCAAATTTTATTAATGACAGAAATATTTGGCAAAAATTCTCCTTTGTATTGTAATGAAACTGTGGTGTTGATATTAGGTATGGTAACCATGTAATTTATTTCCTAATTTGAATGAATAGGAAAAAAAATTACAATTAAAGAGAAGACTAAAATCGGCGCTGTGTTTGGAAAGCAGGATGTCTATGTACTAGCAAATGTATAGGGAGTATTATTACTTAATGTCATGAAATTGGGAACAGAATGTAAATGCTACTGTTGAAAGTCATCCCAGAGTATGCCTAAATTAAATTTGTCCATTACCATCAAAATTAAATCTA